AAGGTAGTGGTTACCAAAGTTACACTGTTCTTGTGAGTTTCACTTGTTTACACTGTTCTTGTGAGTTTCACTTGTTTTTGTTCTTGTTGCACTTCCTCAGCCCATTAGCTTCCCAGGTAAGATCTAGGGAGCATCATAAGGTCAAGCCTAATTATGCTAAGAGGACTGTGCCCTCTAAGCTGGGACTTGTTTGTGACTTTGCCAACAGGTCAGTCCGAGGCTTAACCCTATATCGGCTCCCCACAGGGCATCTCGGCCCCCCTCCACGTGGCCTCTCCAGCAGAGTTGTCTGGACCTCTTCACGTGGCCGTTGTCTTCAAGGAGAGTGACTCAGATGCTGCAGTCTCTTGAGGTCTAGACTCAGAAGTCACAGAGCATTGCTTCTAGCACATTCTATCGGTCAAAGCAAGTCATAGGCCCGGCCAGATTCAGGGGTGGGGGGGAATGGATCCCACCGCTTCATGGGCAGAGTCATATTGCACAAAGGTATGTGGGATGGAGGGAGGTGGAGGGCCAGCTTTGGAAGCACAAGCACCTACTATGTGCCAGGAGTTGTTCTAGGCCCTGGGAATAAAAAGGGGAATCAAATAGACTAACACCCCTGCCCTCCAGGAGCTTTTATTCCGATGGAGGAAAATGAAAGGAAAACAAATAAAATATATAGTTTGGTGGTAAAAGTAAAGAGAAATAAACTGGGGCAGGACAGGGCATGGTAGGCGAGTTGCGAGGTCAGGGGAGGCCTCATTGAAGAGAGACATTTGAGCAAAGGAAGCATGGGATGAGCTTCACCAGTGAAGGGAACATCAGGTGCAAAGGCCCTGGGGTGAGGACATGGTGATGTGGTTGGTGGGGAGTGAGCAGCAGGTGATGAGGTTGGAGAGGAGGTGGGGTCCAGGTGGTATAGGGAAAGGGAGTTCTATTTGACATTACTGAGTGAGGTGGAAAAGAGGAGAGGATTTTTTTTAAATTAAGACAAAATTCATACAACATAAATCTGACCATTTAAAGTATGTCACTCAGTGTTCTTTGGTATATTCACTATGTTGTACAAACATCACCTAATTCCAGAGCATTTCCATCACCCAAAGGAAACCCCATACCATTCCCTGTTTCCCCTTCCTCGCATCCCTTGGGGGAGACAACCAGCAATATACTTCCTGTCTGTGGATTTGCCCCTTTGGACATTCACATCAAAGGAATCATGTACCAGTGGCTTCTGTGTGGCTGCTTTCACGCGGCGTATTTTCCAGGCTCGTCCACATTGTGGCGTACAGCAGGGCCTCGCTCCTTTCTACGCTGAATACTACTCCACGTGTGGATGGAGCACGTTTTCTTTGTCCGTTCATCAGTTGGTGGACGTGAGTTATTTCCACTTTTTGGCTGTTAAGAACAGTGTCCATGTTTTTGTAACAGCCTATGTTTTGGGGGTGTTTGGATATCCTTTGGGATGTATTGCTGGATCATAGGGCACCTCTATGTTTAACTTTTTGAGGAACTGCCAGACTGGTTTCCAAAGCTGCTGCACAAATTCGTGACCCCGCCGGCAGGGTCTGAGGAGGGTTCCCGGTGCTCCACATCCTCGCCAACACGTACTGTTTTCCATTTTGGGGTTGTAGCCATCCTAGCAGCTGCGAAAGGGCAGGTGGGAGATTCTGAGCTGAGGAGACTTTGGGTTTAACAGGATCTTTCAGGGGAGTAGATTGAAGGGGAACAGGAGGGGAGGGAGGCAGGGGACCAGTGAGCAGACTGCTGCACTAGTCCCAGCAAGAGAGGGCAGTGCCTTGTGCCAGGGTGGTGGCGAGGGAGATGGGGAGAAGCGGTCGGATTGGGATACATTTTTTAAGGAAGAACCGAGAGGATTTGTGTATAGATTGGATGGGATGAGGGGAGAGAAAGGAAGATGAGTCAAGGATGCCCCCAGTTATCTGAGCAACTGGACAGTGGCGTTTCCATTTGTTGAGTTAGAGAAGACCATAGGTGGAGGGTCTTCTTGTGTGTGTGTGTTGTTGTTTTTTTATGCCAGTCACTTGGCAAGCATTTTCGTTTATGTGTGTGTGTGTGTGTGTGTGTGTGTGTGTGTGTGTGTGTGTGTTTTGTGCCAACCCAGCTGGGAAGTTTCGATCGGCACTTTGGGCGGAGGGGGGTGTGGAAGAAGAAAGCAAATGCTATGCTTCACACATGTTAAAATAAGTGTCCGCTGGCCGTGCCCTGAATGTTACTTAAAGTGAGCCATTTGCGTCCTTCCCCTCGGAGCAGGACAATGTGTGCCCGGGGAGCTACAAAGGACGGCGAGGGCATTCATCCTGATTACGGGCCGCTTCAAAGGGTGTGTGGGCTGCAGCCTGCAGGACTCTGGTTTCTGAGGCCACTTAGGGGATTATCTGGAGAGAAAATGGTCCCGTGAATGATTTGTGGGCCTGTGGGGTGCTAATTCTGAGCTCCTTCCTGTGTGTTGGGAACGTCTTGGGGCTTGTTCCTCCCTTAGCCCACCAGACAGTCAGCAAACGCTTTCTGGGCTGCCTCCTGCTTTGGGGCACCGCCCAAAGCGCCAGGAGGTGGGCGGGGAGACGATAGCTGACAGGTAGCAATAAGGGGACCCATTTCCCTCTCCCCCAGGAACATCGTGGTGGCTAGACGTCAGCCCTGGAGTCAGTGCTCGGGGGTCAAATCTGGCTTCCGCACTTACGAGCTGTATGACCTTGAGCAAGTGACTTAAGCTTTCTGGTCCTTTGTTTCTCAGTCCAGAAGAGGGGGGAATTCCAGCACCTGCTGAGTTCTCCTGAGGCTCAAATGAGATGATCCACTTATGGTGATTGGCCCTTGCTTTTGCAATCCAGTGAGAGACAGAAAGCAGCCACTTACACACCTACTGTGTGCGGGCTCTGTTAAATTCAGCCACCTTTATTGTCAGGTGAGCCTCCTACCAGCCCTGCCCAGCCGAGGCTCCTGGCACAGGGGAGCCAACCAGAATGCAGAAGTCAAACCCTTGGGTCAAGGTCACACGGCTGGCAAAAGAGAAGTGGGATTTGAACCCAGGACCAACTAACTTCCTTTCTGCATCTGCCGGCACAGGTTGAGATGCGCTTCCTCTGAGCAGGGCTGCAGGCACATGGGAAGGAGGCAGCCGTCCAGCTGGGGCGGGTCTGCGTTATCTATGGGGGGGGTCTCAGCACCCCTCTGTGCCCCTCTGTGCCCGCTCCCACCTCTCTTCCTCTTCTCTGCATCAGGAGGAACAGCCAACCTTCTTTCTCCCTTAGCACCTTCAAGGCATTTTACCCTGATTTCACTTCCGGGGAGAACTTCTGTGTGTTTCCCAGCCTCCCTCCATGAGGTCGCCCTCCCTGTCAGCCTCCCCCGTGCAGGCACAGAAATAGTCCCAGCTGTGAGATGAAGGCTCCAGAGTTTAAAATGGCACTATTTATACTCCAGCCGGAAGGAGGGCTTTTTGCAGTCGTTTACTTTGTGGTGGTGGCGACAGCTCGCGCTGCAAGCAGCCGGCTCTGGCACTAAGCAGTTCCCGGGCACGTGGGTGGTGAGGAGCCTTCGGGAGTGGGGGGCGGCCCCAGGCCTGCCCAGAGATGTCTGCTGTCGCCTCCCTGAGCAGCGTGATTGGCCTGGTGAGCCAGAGAAAGAGGTTCAGGGTCTAGAAGTTTCTTCCTAGATGCCTGGAAATTAAAACACACACACACACACACACACACACACACACCTCACATATTTTATAAGCCTTGAGAGTTGCACATACCTGAGGGGAAAAGGGTCAAACTAATTTTCTGCACAAGTGATGAAAGCAGGGCTTATAAACTGGCTGACCCATTCACATTCCTGTTGAGCTTGGCCCGTGGAGCGTTAGAAAAAAATGTATCTTTTTTTTGAATTTGTGCCACTATTTAAAAATTGGGACATTTCTCATAAAGTGAGAACTTCTGGCCTTTCTTGAAAAATGAAAGGTGTCTGGCACCTTCGAGATCAGCCCGGGGCCCAGGGGCGTGAGGCCCAGGGGCGTGTCACTCGGTCATGGTCACGTCACTGTCTGGCCCTGGTAACTGGAGCTGCTAGGACCCTTCAAATTACATAAAACCTTCTTTCCGGTCTCCCTCTTCACTCTCCCCAATCCCTGCTCTCCTGGGCTGATGACAGGGTTTCCAAAGAAACAATAGGGCGCCCAGTTAAAGCTGAATTGCAGACAACGAATAACATTGTAGTGAGAGTCCGTCCCCGGCTATTCGCAGTTGGCAGATATCACTGCGGGCCGGTGTCTGTTCACCACACACGCCTTGGTGTGGTCACAGACTCGGCTTACGGTCTTCGTCTCCTGCGGCTCACGCTTGCTCTCTGCAGGCATGTCTCAGGGTTTATTAGAGCCGGCGTTGAGGCTGTGGGCTCAAACCTACATGAGAATCCCGGCCCTGCCACTGGCTAGCTGTGTGTCCTTGAGCAGGTGTCCTCACCTCTCTGAGCCTCAGTTTCCTCGCCTGAACAACGGGGATCTTAAGGGTACCTTTGTTACTTCCTGTTGGTATTTATTTCATGTCTTTTGAAAGCTGCATAGAGTGGACGGCCCACGGTGGCTTTGCCCAGTCCTCAAGCAGCAGGAGTGCAGCCAGAGTATCCCTGTTTCAGATGACGCGAGGAGAGGTTTTGCAAAGGAAAAGTAGGTCTAGAGCAGTGGTTCTCAACCTTGGCTGCATGTTAGAATCACCTGGGAATCTTCTTAAAATCCTGATTTCTGGGCCACATCCTCCGGAAATTCTGTTTCTTTGTTATGGGGTGGGGCCACAACATTAGTAACAAAGAAACAGAATTTCCGGAGGATGAGGCCCAGAAATCAGGATTTTAAAAAGATTCCCAGGTGATTCTAATGTGCAGCCAAGGTTGAGAACTACTGGTCTAGAGGGAATTGGGCAGATGACCCTAGCATGTAGTTTGCTCTTCTTAAAAATGAAGGCCACTTGTCTCCCTGGAAACCATTTGCTAACCTCCGGGATATTGTCTTCCAGGCGAAGGAGGTGGAGGAGACCATCGAGGGGATGCTCCTGCGGCTGGAGGAGTTCTGCAGCCTGGCCGACATGGTGAGTGCCGCCGGCCGGAGCCGTGGTTTCCGCAGGCCACACGCCAGGCCCTGCCTGAGTTTTCTGGGGAAGCCATTTGGGTGGAGATTCAGCAACCAGCAGGAGTGGGGCCTCGGCCAGCGGTGAGCGGAAAACCCCAGGCATGCTCGCTCTCCCCCTCCACACCCAGGCTTCCAGGCCGGCCGGCCGGCCATCTTGCTGCGTCCTCCCCGAAGGTTTTATTCCTCAGAGGAGCGGGAGCGGGCCACCAGGTGGCACTCTCGGCGCCGACGCGAGCCCTGCGGGATGCTGAGACTATATTTAACTTCCCTCGCTCTGCGCAGTTCCCCGGGCAGATGTGGAGTCACCAGGAAGCGCCTCAGGCCTGCGAGGCCTGGCAGGGCTGGGCCTGGGCATCGCCTCCTTCCCGAACCCTCTTGCCTCCACCTTTGCCTCCTACCCTGGTTTTTTGGGTCAAAGACCCCTCATTTGGGTGGGGAAGAACATGGAAGATGGTGCCTGAGGTCCAGAAGACAAGAGCTCCACTCCCTGTTCTCTAGAAATCTCCTCTAGATCCTGGTGTCCCCAGGCTTGCTGCCAGCCAGGCATGAGGCCCCAAGGAGCCATGATAGAACATTCTGAAAATTCCCAAGCTTATTAAAGGCAAACCCGCAACCAGAGATGGAGGCGTCTGCCTGGGAGCGGGGAGGGCAGAGCTCCATGCTGCGGCCTGGCCCTGCCTCTCCCTGGAGCCGGAGCCCAGCCGGCCTGTGGTGTAGACTGTGCCTGGGAAGCCAGGGCTGCAGCGGGTCTGGGAGCCCAGGGGGACGCAGTACAGCAGCCCCAGATGTTCACTGCACATCTGCTTTGTGCCAGGCACCCCATGAAGTGTGTCTCCTGTGTAACCTCGTCTCCCCTAGAAGCAACCCAACGTGATGGGCACCGTGTCAGCCCATTCATTCTCCAGACCTCCCTGTGCCCCCCTGGACACGGCTGTGAACAGACGGACGGTCCCACGAGGACCTGTGTGTGTCTCTCTCGAGCCGATATTTCAGTTCAGGTGGTGGCTCGGGTGGGAGCTGGGTAATCAGACAGACTTCACATGGTCTCTCAGTCAGTGCTTTCTTCCTCACCAAATATGACGCCTTCCCCGGCCGGGCCCTGTGTGGGTCCGAGGGGGCAGGGTCCCCGTGCTGTCCCCGAGCCCGGTCCGCTGGGGGAGCCCAGGCCGCTGGGAGGGCGCTGTGTGCTCCAGTCGCTGTCGTTCATGGTGGAAATGCTGTCATCGCCGTGTGCTCGGGCAGGGGGAGGCTGCAGAGGTTTTGAAAAGAGAAAGCGGGTCCAGAAGGAATGGGCACGTATCCTAAGACTTGGTTTCCTTAAAAAAAGAAAGGAGCAGAAGCATTAAATTCTGCCTGGGAAATTGGGAAGACTTCGTAGAAGACATGGGGATTAATTGGGGGGTTGAAGACGCAACAGAAAGAATTCAACTGCTAAGGAGAGCGGGGGCCAGGCAGGGCACGCCAGGCGCAGCGTGGACAGTGAGGGCCCACGGCGAGGGGCGGATTTGGAAGATGGCGTGGACGGGACCCAGGGACATGGCTGCTGACAAGTCCTAGCCCATCCTCCTGTGAAGGAGACCCCCTGTGGGTCCAGGACAGCTGGGGCTGGGAGTCAGTGTGGACAGGCCACGCCTGCCTTGAAAACTGCCAAGGCTTATGGGGGAAGTTGTGGTTAGGTGACCAAGAGGCCCAAGGCCGCAGGCTGCATCGAGAAGGTCCTCTCTGAGCTCCGCGTCCGGAGCTGCGTCCTGGCAAAGATTTAATACTGAGGTCGCACACAGGTGACCCACAGGCCAGTCCTGCCTGCAGATATGGTGGATGTTTGGGGGGAAAGGAAGTCGCTGCTGTCATTTATAGAATGTCATACCCCAAGTCTGGATTCCTGGCTTCTTAGAAAAGCAGAGATCTGGCCCCCGATGGGTGCTGGTTCCCACCCAGCCAGCACCAGCTGGAGCTGCACAGTGGCTGCCCCGTGGCCTGGCCACTGTCCCCCTGCCCCCATGGCCTGGCCACTGTCCCCCTGCCCCCGTGGCCTGGCCACTGTCCCCCTGCCCCCGTGGCCTGGCCACTGTCCCCCCTGCCCCCGTGGCCTGGCCACTGTCCCCCTGCCCCCGTGGGAGCTTCCCTGGCTCCGCGGCCACATGCCGGACACCCATCCTCTGCTCGTGTGTTTGAGGTAGGAACGTTTCTCTGTACTCTGGACCCTACTGAAGTGGGCAAATACAACCCGACCAAGAGGGCCCCTGTTTGAAGAAATGGGAGAGGGCGTACTTCTGTGGACCTGAAAACGATTTCAGCGTGTTTACGGGCAATGAGCATGTCTGCACCGATAGAACGTGCCTAGTACGCACTCGTGTGGCCCTGTAGGCGTTTTGAGTTTGCAGTGCTTTCATTGACGCTCTGTGCAGATGCTGTTTAGATCGGGGGGTCCTCTGGGCCCCAACAGCTGAGGCTTAGCTTACCTGGTGCGTCTGCCTCCAGGTGTTGTGAGCTCCGCGGCACAGGGCGAGGTGTCCCGCTGTCAGCCCTGGCTCAGACCTCCACTCCTCTCTTGATCTAAGCTAGGGAGGCGTGGGGACCTCTGGGGGCAGGTGATGTCACACCATGGACCACGGTCCGGGTCCCTGCCTTGGCTTTTGGAAACACTGATCAAGTTAGAGGTCTGAGAGAAGCCAGGCTCCCTGGTACACAGTCCAGAGAGAAGCAGCTTCATTTCTGATAAAATCAGGCTGTTAGAAATGAGCCCGGCTTCCTGTCTGGCGCATTAACTCCTCTGCCGGCCTGTCCCCGATCGCTCTCTGTGACTGGGATTCACTGCCCTGTGCCTGTGGCCTGTTTGACCTTAGAAATAGTGCCACTCAAGCTCTGAGTCTCCCCACTGTGGGGCCTTGGGCACAGCACGTCACCTCTCTGTACCTTTATTTTCTCCTCTGTGACGTGGAGAGAGTGGTCCCGACGATCAACTGCTACATCCAGCGACCCCAGGACGCGGGGCTGTGAAACAGCCGCCCATGGATGACGTGGGCCAAGGCAGGGCACAGAAGGGTGGCCTGTGTGAGCCCCATGGCGCTGCTGCCTGGGGCTGTCCACGTGGCTCTTCTCGCACCTGTCCATGTCTGGAACGGGAGGGGGGAGCTGGGCCTGGCAGGCATGCCGGTCCTTTGTGCAGCCCCCCCGTGTTGAGCCTGGGCTGCCTGGTGGCATGGCGGTGTGGCTCCCAGAGCAAGCACGCCAGCAGCCTGGAAGCGGGCGGTGCCAGGCTCCAGAGGCTTGCATATGGAAATCAACACAGGGCGTGTCCGTCATTTTTTTTGTTGTTTTGTTAAATCAGTCACATAAGTGACCCAGATCCACTGGGAGAGGACACATTGGTAGACCCCCCCTCATCCTGGAAGGACATAAAGAACTTGTAGGCATGTTTAGCCACTAACAGTGTGTCCATTTCCAAAGAGTTCTCATAAGAAATAGGTGAGGCAGGGATGTATGCTTTCCATCCACTAGAGCAGTGGTTCTCAACCTTCCTAATGCCGCGACCCGTTAATACAGTTCCTCATGTTGTGGTGACCCCCAACCACAAAATTATTTTCGTTGCTACTTCATAACTGTAATCTTGCTACTGTTATGAATCGTAATGTAAATATCTGATATGCAGGATGTATTTTCATTGTTACAAATTGAACATAATTAAAGCATAGTGATTAATCACAAAAACAGTATGTAATTATATATGTGTTTTCCGATGGTCTTAGGCGACCCCTGTGAAAGGGTCGCTCGACCCCCAAAGGGGTCGCGACCCACAGGTTGAGAACCGCTGCACTAGGGTGACCCCCAATGAAAGGACAGACAATGGCAAGTGTGGAAAGGATGGGAATGTGAAAGGGCACAGCCACTTGGGAAAACAGTTTGGCGATTTCTTATAAAGTCAAGCATATACTTACCCTACATCCCAGCGACTCTGACCCTAGATAATTGCCCAGGAGAAATGAAAACAAATGTCCAGGAAGGCTTGGACGCCGTGTGCATAGCAGCTTCGTTCACAACGCCCTGACGTCCAGCGGCAGCAGGAGCGGGAGGATAGATGATCTCATACAGAGCAAAGGGAGGGAGCGAGCGCTACCCACAATAGCACGGTGGCGCTCACAAACATGATGCTGAGCGAAAGAAGCCAGACACAAGAATACGCTCTATGTGGCTCCCCTAACGTGAAGCTCAGAAAGAGGCAAAACTAACGAATGGTGATGGGAGTCGGAGAGTGGTCAGCTTTGGGAGGGTGTCAGGCCCAGGAAGAGGCCTGACCAGCCTCATGGGGTGGTAGGGTGTTCTGTGGATTGGCGCACGTGGTGGTCACACAGATGTAAACACATGTGCGAGTTGATCGAGCTCTCCACTTGAGGCTTGGGCTCTGTATGTCATATGCGCCAATTAAAAATAATTGTTTAGCACGGGGCCTGCTGTGTACCAAGTGACCCACACACGGTAGCTACCGAGGTCATCGTCGCCAGTATCAAAGCACCAGAAGGTTGTGACCCTGACCAGATGATATAGACACTGGACGGTAGGGCCTTCTGCCTCGGTGCCCTCTGGGGTGGGGGCAGCTGGCCAGGGCCCTCTGAAACCCCCGTGGCCTCGGGCCCACCTCCTGGCAGGGAGCAGACTCTGACTGCGCTCACATAATGGAGAAGATTTCCTGTTGGCCTCGGCCCAGCAGTTGCATTTGGCGTTGGTGCGTGTTCTTAGGTCAAGAGCATTTGACTCTCCTTCCTGGGGCCCTGAATCATCCTGGACAGCGGTCTCGGCTCCATGATAACCCCCACCCCCAGACGTCTGGGCTCCGGAGCTCAGCTCAGGAGGAGGAGGAACAGGCTGGGAAGGGAAGGGCCTGCCAGGCCCCAGCCCAGTGAGCCTGCCTGGGGGTCGTCCTGGCAGGGCCTCAAAAGCATTGGTTCCTCACTGACATCTCTTTGCTCTGCTCAGGAACAAACAAAACAGGCAAACTCGGGTGCCTGGGACGCGATGGTGTGTCGTGGGGTGGCTGTGAGAAAAGAAATGTGTCACTTCCCTTTGACTCCCCTATAACAGGGAAAG